CGGGGCAGTGGGGTGTGGCGGGGCCCGGGGCCGTGGCCACTTACCGACGTACTGCCCGGTCAGGCCTCAGTAGCTGGCCACGTTGACGAACAGCACATACTTGCCGGCGTACTGCTTGAAGGGGATGTACTCGTCCCCGCCGATGGTGAGCGCCCCGAACTCGTAGATGGTGCCGTTCACGTTGGGGTAGCAGTCCCTCTGCAAGGCAGGCTGGTCAGGGGCCCCTGGCCCAGCGCTCCCCAGGGGGGCCGGTTGTCCCCTGCCTCACAGCAGGGGCCAGCTGGGGGGAGCCAGGCCTGAGCCGGCTCAGGGGGCGGCCCCTGGCTGGAGGCGGGGCAGGGAGGCCTGTGAGGGGAGACCCGGGAGGACGGGGAGCCACTCCTGCAGAGCTGGGGGGCTGGAGCTGCTGCAGTGGCTGGAGTCGGGGCGGGGGCTGGGGGAGGCCCCTGGGGGGGGGGGGGAGGGGCTGTGACCAGCCAAACTCCTGATGGTGGGGCGCTGGTGGGGGGTCCTCCACTGGGAGGAGGGGGTCCCCCTTCTGGGGGTGAGTCCTGGCCATGCAGGGACCGGACTGGCCAGGGGCCAGTGGGGGTCACCTGGGCTGGTGGGAGGCTTCTGTCTGGAGCTGCTGCAGGACCCCCATGTGCCTGCTCGGCCTCACTCCCCTCGGCATGGACCGGAGCCTGGTGCCCCTGTGTCCAGTGGGTGCCTAGGGCCTGCGCTGGCCATTCTCCAGCCCTGGGCCTCCGTGGCCGCAGGTCAGTTCCACCTCCAGAGGCAAACACCACGCACAACAGGAGCCAAACACGGCCAGCTGACCTGGAGGCCCCACACTGTCCACTGACCTCCCTGCACCCTCCCCCACCCCCTTCCGGAAAACAGATGCTGGGAAGTGGAGAGAAGGCCCAGAGGGTGTCCACACTGTCCGCTGGGTACAGCAGAAGTTGCGGGGGTGGGGTGGACCCGGCCTCCCGCTGGGGAGGGGTCAGCAGGCTATGTGGCCTGGGCAAGGCCCTCTGCATTAGGACTGCCCGCAGTTGGGAGCTCCTGGCCCCAGGGCTGAGTGCTAGAGGACTAACACCCCGTGGCTCCTGGAAGGACCCCGCCAGGCAGGACCCGGGGAGGCTGCAGGATGCCAAGTCCCTGCTGCCAGGCCGGTAGGAAGGGGGGATGGACGCTTCCCCTGGGGCCCGTGCGGTGGGGCCGTGGAGTCGGGGTCAGCGGGTGGTCCCCACGTTGAAGGGAGCACCCCCCGGCCCTGCTTTGTTGGGCTGGGAACTTCTCCTTTCTGGTGAAAGGACTCCGTCACGGTGCAGGGGTCACGTTCAGAGCTGCCCAGGGCACATCACCTGGCGACCAGCCTGGGCTCCATGACTCCGTGCCACGGATCCGGTCACCTAGAGTCCAGCGGTTACTAGGCTCCCAAGCAGTCAGCGGACAGTGCACGCAGAGGTGTCTGTGCAGGGCCAGGGCAGGGCAGGCGCTGGGCCGGGCGGAGGGTGGCGGGAGACCGGCTTTGTCCCTGGCCCTTCTCCCAGGCGGCCACCTTTGCTCCAGCCTGTCCTCACCCCCCCAACCCCTGCCTCTCAGGGGCCCCAGAGCTGGGTGAACCGGGGGTCGCCCCAGAACCCGGTGACGCCCACACACATGCCCTCCCTGCCACGGGTCTGGCTGGCCCTGCTGGGGGGGCCCCACGTCACCCCGAGTCACACACCCCCTCCTGCCCCGGGCACTCCCAGCTGGTCGGTAGCCAGCGAGCCTGCGGTGGCTGGGCCCAGGCTTCAGGCAGGCGGGGCTCGGGGCCTGGCCACGGCCCCGGGGGCAGTGAGGACCCCAGAGGCCTCAGACTAAAGACCCAGGTTTCGCTGGGGAGCCGCAGCCTCTCCGGGTACGGGCGGCCCCCCGGGGCGGGCCACCTGCCACCGTGCACCTGGCTCCCGGCCCGGTGCCCTCCAGCCGCGGTCGCACCTGCTGGGGCGGCCTGAGTCGGGGAGCCCTGCGTGACCCAGTCTCCCGCCAGGGGTGGCTCGTCTCTGGGCGGCCGCCCCAGGGAGAGCGGGTGGACCCCGAGCGCGCCCTGGCCCTCACTCCTGCGTGTGGGGGGGACCGAGGCCCAGCGGGGCGGGGGTCTCGTGGGGCCTCGGCGCACCGGGTGCACAGCTCCCCCTGCCTCTTGCCTCGGCCCAGGCCGCCTCTGCCGTTCTTGGTACCAGAGCATTCTAGAACTTCGGGAGCGACCACACTGCCCCTGCGGCCGGTCTCCCGGGCCTCGGCTGCCACCTGGCGCTGGCGCCGGGCCGCAGGTGGGCGCCAGCCCTCGGGCCCCAGGGCCCCGCCGGCGGCCACGGGGGACGGGGGCCACCCCGTTCCAGTGCACCCTTGTAGCCCAGGTCCCCCAAAGATGCCGGGGCCAGGTCTCGGCGGGGTGGGCCACCAGGGCGGTGCCCCACCAGGGAGGCGCCTGCGGCCACTCACCTTGGACTTCTCCTGGCCCCGGCCGGGCGGCACGAGCCCGGCCAGCAGCAGCGGGAGGAGGCAGGACGCGCGCAGCAGCCAGGCCATGGCGC